AGGGAATCCACACAGGGTTAACGAGGGGGCGTGGCACACAGGAGGACCGGACGATCGGGGCGTGGCACCAACCTAGGTCTAAGATTTGGCTCTCAACTGACCTTTGAAGCCCATATCAAACATCTCTGCAAGATTTCGTTCCACCACCTTAGAAATATTGCCAAACATCATCCTACTATTACTTTACCAGATGCTGAAATGCTGGTTCATGCTATTATCTCTTCCACACTGGAATACTGCAATACACTGGAATCCCTGGCAAGAATCTTCAAAGACTCCAGTACATTCAGAACAGCTCAGCATGGATCCTGATGAAAGTGCGGAAACATGAACACATCACACCCATTGTTCATTCACTTCGTTGGCTTCCCATCTCTGCCAGGATTGAATGTAAAGTTTCTCTCCTAACTCACCAGTGCATCTATGGCGAAGCCCCCCTGTACCTGAAAGAACTGCTTACCCACTAACCTCAACATGATCTCTCTGCTCTACGGACTCTAATCGCCTCCTCAGGACTAAACTCAGCACCGTGGGTGATCAGGCCTTCAGTTCTGCGGCCCCCATCTATGGAACACCCTCCCAGACCACCTCAGGGCACCACAGAGTATTGGGAGCTTTAAAGAAGGACTTAAAACATTCATTTTTAGCAGAACTTATGGCTTTTAATAAACTTTGCAGGTTGCTGCATTTTTAAAGTTTTATGTTGTTTTTACTGATAATGTTTTCATTTTTTAGCACTTTATGATTTGTTTGAAATGTAAAGGGCGTTACAAAGAAAATGCGTTATTATTATTATTATTATTATCAAATGGTCCTGGGCTGTGCTGCCCAGCCTTCTCTTGTTTCTCCTCCCACAATCCCGTGCTGTGTGGGCCGAGGCCGTCTGTGGCGGGCAGAGAGGCAGGTGGAGATCCTAGATGGACAGGTAGCCTTCAAGGAAAAGAGCACCATTTCCTTTCAGACACTCTGGACAACAAGATGATCAGGTTTTTCTGGAAATATAATCCTACTAGAATAGCTTCATACCTGCCACTACAGGTGCCATTCTCATCTGACGCAGGTAAATAAATAATTCAGACTTTTTTTACACTTTGACTTATTGTCATAAGGGAGAAATTATCAGAATTATTTACAAGATGAGTCAATTCTTGGATGCCTTAAATGTTAAACTCAAAAAGAAACCAGTTATAGTGTGTTTAACTGACCTGTCAAACTAGTTCTTTTCCTGGACATACTGAGGTTTAGCAATGTAACACAGAGGTGTGTCATCAGTTAATTGAAAGTGAAACTGTAGAAAACACTTTGCCTGAAAACTTTATGGCTGTAGACACGTCGTAAGAGAGTCTGTAACATGTCTGCTGCAGCTTCATCTCTGGACGAGGAGCTCTGCTGTTCTGTTTGCTCGGATTTATTCAAGGATCCTGTTGTCCTGAAGTGCAGCCACAGCTTCTGTAGAGTCTGTCTGCAGAAGTGCTGGGAAGGGAAGAGCTCTCAGCAGTGTCCATTTTGCCGGAGGAAGTCCTCTGTGACAGATCCTCCACTAAACCTGATTTTGAAAAACATTGTAGATGCCCATCAAAAACAGAAAAGTGAATCTCGCTGCAGTCTCCATGGAGAGAAGCTTCTACTCTTCTGTGAGGACGACGAGGAGCTTCTCTGTGTTGTTTGTCAGACTTCCAGAAAGCACAGAAACCACCAGCTCTGTCCAGTAGAAGAAACTGTACAGGATAATAAGGTATTTCCTTCTATATTATTCTTTTTTTCCCAGTGGAAGTTATATAAATATGGTCATTGTTGAACCCCATTGTGGCTATGAGTTGGTATACTTCCTGGGTGTCCCCTGCCCGGTGCCCTGTACCTCCTGTGTGTCCCCTGCTCAGTACCCTGTACTTCCTGGGTGTCCCCTGCCCGGTGCTTGTACTTCTGCCCGGTATCCTGTACCTCCCGGGTGTCCCCTGCCCGGTGTCCTGTACCTCCCGGGTGTCCCCTGCCAAATGTCCTGTACTTCCTGCCCGGTGTCCTGTACCTCCTGGGTGTCCTGTACTTCCTGCCTGGTGTCCTGTACCTCCTGGGTGTCCTGTACTTCCTGCCCAGTGTCCTGTACCTCCCGGGTGTCCTGTACTTCCTGCCCAGTGTCCTGT